TTTTTTTTTTTTTTTTTTTTTTTTATCGTTAAACGATTTTGTAGTTTTTAATTTATAACAATGTAGTCATGGTCAAATTTTGAAAATTTGATATGTTCAATTTCAGAAATATTAATAAATTACAATTTTGGTAATGGGTTAAATTTATAATTTAAACAAATTCTAATACTTGCACATTATGTAAATTGCACTTTAATGATAATTACATTGTACATTAATGTTATATAAAGTGCACAATCATCTAACCTTTTATTTATTTTGATTGAAAAAAATAATAATATTTTTATAAAAAATATAAAAAAATATTACTTTTTATATAATCTTGTTGGTCCGGTTATTCCAGTTACCTAAAAAAAAAAAAGATGACTTTTTACACAAATAACTAAAATTTAAAGGTAAACACATGTAATTCATCCGACATAGAATTAGAATACGTGAAACGAATTCAAATGTGTTCGGTCGCAATAGTGCAATCGGTCAGTCACTAATGTGCAACCCGTATAGCACTAAAGTGTAATATGACAATCATTAATGTGCAATCATTCTAACGCTAATGTGCATTCTAAGTATTATTTTTTTTACACTAAAATATATTTAATATTTGTAATATTTAGTTAACAAAAATGATTAAAATAATTGAAATAAAATGTTATTTATATTATAAAGATATATTTTTCGTTTGAAAATATGTATTGAATGTGTATTCGGTGGGTGTCGATATTTTTTGAAAAAATTATCAATATATACACAATATTGTTAATTGGTTGGCGTCGATATTTTGATATTTTGATGTGCTTATTTAGTACTTTATATTCTTGTTTTTTGTTCGGTAGATATAACTGGTTTTTTAAGAAGTGAAAAAACAAATAATCGAATTGAAATATAATTATTTGAACCATTAGATTAGCCTTTGTTGTGCGGCTTGAAAAAAATTAATGTGCAATTCGTATAACATAGTGTGTATGGTTTCAATTGATATTGTGCATTCTGAATCCGTCATTAGTTATCTGACTATTTGGGTCAACAAATTAAAATCGAATCGAAATAGTCAATATGTTCCATCAGTTAACAGACTATTTTGGTCAACAAAAATAATTGTAATAATTTATTATTTATATTATAAAAAGTATATTTAATATTTGTGGTTTTAATGACATAACATATAGAATTCAAAAATCGATAATGTGCATTAACATAAGCACTAATGTGCAGTTCGTATAACATTATTGTGCAACATAATTCTTTTTGTACAATTCAATTTTAGACAACTTTAATAATTTGTATATGAATCAATTATTTTGTATTTATTAAATTATTTTTATAATAAAAACATATTTAACTTATATGAACATTATACATTGTTATGTTAATGTACATTCGCGAATGCATTAATGTACATTTGGGCTATCACAATTGTGCAATCTAACAGGCACTAAAGTGCATCTTGACTAGTACTATTGTGCATTCTACAATGCGTGCATTTTTTTATACGTAAATTCAAGCTAAAATTAAACTGATATAATTAGATTATTCGGTCAATTAATTATATTAACCTAAATAATTAAACTTGTATAAGTAGATTATTCGGCCAGTTAATTATATTAACCTAAATAATTGAATTAATATATTGTTTATATTATAAAAGAATTATTTATTATTTTAATATTTTGTATATAATATTTTATATTTATATTTTTGTTGAAAATACTTGATATAGAGATATCTATATTTGTGTGATTATTCAAAATGGATGTTAAATTGATGCGACATTAAGGGACTAAGAAATATTGTTTTATATATCCGATAAAAATATGATAAATTAATATCCATTGAATTATGATAAAAACAAAAATATATTGCGAGACTTGTGATTTACATAATTTGTTTCAACAAATGAAAAGAGAAGTAGTAAAAAGTAGAATGGTTCAAAATATCTTTCTTGCAATTATGAAAAGATAAATGAACAAACATATTGTTTGAATGCCAAATGCCAACTGATTTTTTTGTTTTTAACTTCTTTTGAGTTAAAAAAAATTACTAAAAAAATTGTGAGCATTATTTTAATGTGATACTGTGCAATTTATTTAATATTAATGTGTAATTTATTTAATTTTTGCATTGCAATCATCATTATTATTCAATTATTATATTTTGCATAAATTACAAATTGACCCATTACCTAATCTGCAATTTAATGAAAATCATTGATATTATTGTTTAAGTCATTGTCTAATTTTCAAAAAAAAATAAAAAAAGTCCCCCATCCCCAAGTTTGTCCATCTGCACAGCGATGTTCTCCATAGTCCACGGCGAGAAGAGATCATCGAACGGACTGCAAGCTCTCGTCTCCGGCGGAAGAATCTGGTCAAGCAGGCCGACGTGCCGATTTTTCCTTCTAGGCGAGCAGTCAGTTGCCTCGTCTCCGGCGAGCAGATGCGGTTGTCTAGGCTGTCATCGCAGTGCCGGAGGTTCGAAGTCGGCGGATCCCCATACCTGTTTGGTCCATTCTCCGACAGATGTTTCAGCAGGTGGAGAGACAGCGGCGATGGGAACTTCACGGCGGGCGGAGGGGATATATGTTGCAGAAGACGAGTGAAGGCGGCAGCGGGATCTTCGCGGCGGAGGAAGTGAGAGATATGTCGCAGCAGGCGGGTGACGGCAACAGATTTCATGGCGGAGGTCAGTAGACGATGGCTGGCGGCAGATTTCATGGCGGTGGTGGGGGTTCACTTTCCGACGGTCCGCCTCGTCGCCGACGGCGGTAGATCTGCAGCTTGTCCGGAGGGTGGTGGAGGTCGCCGGCAGGAGAGTGGAGGCGGCGACAGGCGGTGGGGATGAACGGCGGCCGTTTGTGTGTAAAGTGTGCGTGTGTACCAGTTCAGTGCGTGTGTGTGTGAGAGAGAGACAAAGAGAGGAGAGAGAGAGAGAGAGAGGATATAGGGGGCGGGTATGACAGGCTGTAATTTATTGATGTTGGGATGGGTTTTGGGATATTACCTTCTTACCCTTAATGAATGTAAAAATTAACATTTTTTTGAGTCATTAGATCATATGATCTGATGGCTAAAATTTATTCTTATTTCTTTCATTAAGCAC